TGTGGCAACATGTCCCTGGGCAGGATCCTTGAAAACTTCCTGCATAGTTTGCTTATCCCTCCCTTGAAACCCAACCTCAGCCACTTTTGTTTAGCCGAAGTCTCCAGCGGAGGGATATGGGCACCCGCACCCAGATCTGCGGGTGCTGGAGACGGAACCAAGGGCCCTGATAAAGCCCTGGGCCCGATGCTGGCACTGCAGGGCCGGGCAGTATAGCTGAGCGCCCATATGGTTGGAAGATGAGCCTCGGAGAATTGGGAACGTGTCAGCCAGTCACCCGGTGCCAAGTAGCACAGATTTAAAGATTTCTGGATACTCTCAGGCAGCCGAGCCGAGATTTTATCATCAGCTGCAAGTGCAGCCAGCCCGCCTTGCCTTGGCAGCATTTGTGGCATTAATTGGAGCCCTGAGTTGACAGGACACCCGTGTGGGGGTATCTCAGAGGCTTCTCTTCGGTGCTTGTGTTGTGTTCCGCGTTGAATTGTGCTTCCACGTGTCTGGGAGGGAGGAATATTGCCCTCTACTGGGACTCGAGCATTTTTTTATTCAAGCTGTGTAGCCAAAAGTGTTTCTATTAACGGCAGCGTTTCTAACATGCTTGGTGGAAACGGAAGTCCTTACATTAATGAGGCTGAATATTGAGAGATGTCCCGGGGTTTCTAGTTCCAGTGTACTTGCCTCCTGCCCTCTGTGGGACTGGGGGCGGCTAGCACTAGATGTTGTTGTTGGTATAACTCACCCGGACATGTGTCCCTCTACTTATTTTCCACCCGGGGCAGGTCTCCCTTGGGAACACGTACTCGTGCTGCATGGTGTATGAGTTTCAGCTGATCTCTTTCTGCGCGAAATCCTATTTTAAATGTACCCATAGAACCACTTGTAAAGCAAAGATACCTTTCCTCAAATCACTCCAAATGTAGCTATAATTGGTAATCATTGACATTACAGACACAAGTGTCTCTATCTTGGTAAAACCTCGTAGTTATCGCATGGTCCACGGGGCCTCTATAATTATTTTGATATAATAGAACTTCATGGTAGATAAACTGCTAAAAGTCGAATTTACATTCTCCAGGAATTAGCTGGTAAGGCAATTCACATTTGTCAGGGTGATGCTTTCCAACAGCTATAGGTCCACTCAGTGGAGCAATACTGAACACGTGTGTGTATTTTTGTACATAAAAATGTTTACACACGCTGGGCTCGGTGGCTCAGCCTGTAATTCCGCGTCTTTGGGAGGCTGAGGTTAGTGGATTGCCTGAGCCCGTGGGTTTGAGACCCGCCTGGGCAACTTGACGAGACCTCATCTCTACAATAAATCAAAAAATCAGCTGGGCGTGTAGTGCATGCCTGTAATTCTGGCTACTTGGAAGGCTGAGCCGGAAGGATCGCCGGAGCCCAGTAGGTCGAGGCTGCGGTGACTGGGAGCGGCCACTGCACTCCAGTCTGGGCGACAGAGTGAGACTCCAACTCAAACAAAAATAAAAATGTTTACACACATAGGAATGAAACTAAACTTGACCAGATTGATTTACTCTGTGCTGTACACGCTGATATTTTCTATTCTGTTTCCTTTTTTCTTCCTCTCTTTTTAATTTTTTTCTTCCTTTCTCCCTCTTTTTTTTTTTTTGGAGTTGGAGTCTCACTCTGTTGCCCAGGCTGGAGTGCAGTGGCATGATCACAGCCACCACAGCTTCGACCTGCTGGGCTCAGGCGATCCTTCCACCTCAGCCTTCCAAGTAGCTGGAATCATAGGCATGCGCCATCAAGCTTGGCTAATTTTCCTTGATTTATTGTAGAGAAGAGGTCTCAACAAGTTGCCCAGGCTGGCCTCAAACACGTGGGCTCAGGCAATTCTCTCACCTCAGCATACCAAAGTGCTGGGATTATAGGCGACAGCCATTGCGCCGGCTCTCCTTTTTTTTTCTTCTTTTTTTTTAATGAGTTGGAGTCTCACTCTGTCACCCAGGCTGGAGTGCAGTGGCACGCTCATGGCTTATCAGCCTTTGCCTGCTGGGCTTAGGTGATCCTTCTACCTCAGCCTTCCGAGTAGCTGGGAATACAGGTGCGTGCCACCATGCCCGCTAGTTTTTAAATTTTTTTTGGTAGAGATGAAGTTTTGCTATGTTGCCCAGGCTGGTTTCAAATTCCTGGGCTCAGGCAGTCCTCCCACCTCAGCCTCCCAAAGTGCTGAGATTATAAGTGTGAATCACCGTGCCCTGCCCCCCTCCTTTTTAAGCTGGCCATGGCCCACCAGAATCATTTGCTATCTCCTAATTCACGTTTCAAAACACAGTGCATTAGGGTAGAGATTTTTAGCTATCTTCACCCCCTCCTTTCCAAGTTTCTGGTGTATTTCTGTATAATTTTTTTTCTTTCTTTTTTAAACAAATCCTCTGCTTTCTGCCAGATAGCAGAGCAAAAGAAACCTAAAGAGCTTAAAATCCCACCTTCAACCATGCCTGTAATTTTAGCACTTTGGCAGGCAGAGGCAAGAGGTTTGCCTGAGCTCACGAGTTCAAGACCAGCCCTGGCAACTTGGCGAGACCTCACATCTACAACACATCAAAAAATTAGCTTAGCATGGTGGCACATGCCTCTGGTTCCAGCTACTCGGAAAGGATGAGGTAGAAGGATCACCTGAGCGAGGTTGCAGTGGCTGTGAGCATGCCACTGCACTCCAGCCTAGGTGACAGTGAGACTCCAACAAAAAAAAAGAAAAAAAAAAATCCCAACTTTGACTCAGCTCCTTGGCGCCTCTCCCTGCTCCTAGCCTTTAGGGCACATGGACATCTCACAAGGGTCTCAGGAAAGCCCCCTCTGTCTCCTGGTTGGGAATAGTCAAAAAAATTAACTGGGCATGGTGGTGTGCGCCTATAGTCCCAGCTACTGGGGAGGCTGAGACAGAAGGATTACCTGAGCCCAGGAGGTCGAGGCTGCTGTGAGCTGTAGGTCCGGGGTTCACATTCTGCATTCTAGCAAGACCCCAGGTGATTGATTCAGGTTTAAGGAGCACTGAGCCAGGCCGAGCCGACTTTATTTTTCCCAGGTCCATGGTAGTGGCCCGAGGCACATGCACGCCAGGCTGAGCCATGCTTTGTGCCTGCACGCATCACCTGCTTAACTAAACTCTCACCAATGTATTTTATTAAGTTTCTGGGTCCAATTCAATGTTTGTCAAAAGCAGGTTTATTGGTTATGATGAAATACAATGGATGGTACATATTTACAGTACATGACTTGGTAAGTTTTGCCATATACATACACCAGTGAACCCACTGCCACTGTCATGATGGTGAATGTGTCCATCAGTCACTAAGTTCTGTGTGTCCCTTTGCATTCTGCCTGCCAACATAATCTGCTTTCTGTTACTATAGGCAAGCTTGCGTTTTCTTTTTCTTTTTTTTTTGGAGTTGGAGTCTCATTCAGTCACCCAGACTAGAGTCCAGTGGCCGCTCCCGGCCACCGCAGTCTCGACCTGCTGGGCTCCGGCGATCCTTC